ATATTATCCTCTAGCAACACACTGGATTCAGCTCCAGGATTCAGCTCCAGGATTCTCCTCCTCTCACGTTGACATTTCCCTCCGCGCCCACACACACACGCGCGCGCTTGAAGTCATCCGTTCACATGTCATACACACATGAGGGGACAAAATATAAATAAATAAAACTGTGTGAAGCCCGTGTCGACGTGAACATGGGGAGAAAAAGAAACGCCGGGGCGGGCGTCGCCGGTAGCGTGATAGAAGCGCGACCTGACTGCGTGTTCAAGAATGACACCGCGCGCGGTTAATGCGTGGACACGCCGCCGGTGCGGGAGTAACGTAACGCTACGTCGTTACGGTGCACGGTGGCACAGGCAAAGCAACACAAAAAAAGAGGATAACATATTTTAAAAACAGATAAGGATTGGGGGCAAAAACGTTTCTGATTGTGAATGAATATGTGTAAAACCTTAGGCCTGCAACTTTTTAAGGCTAAATATTGGGACTAATACAATTATTTTATGCATTTCCTTTTCATTTTATTTTTATAATTGTGTGATTGTTGTATTTAACAGGCCTTTTCATCTTTGTCATCTTTTTATTTTGTATTATTATATGATATTTTATTATAGCCAATGTGCCATCTTGCCAAGCATCATTTTATAAAGAATTTGTTCATTTTTTATGAAAAATGAACCACTTTCATCATACACACTTGCTGTTGGTGTATCTCATTCTAATAATAAAGCATTGTAATTAAAAAGCTTGAATTACAGGTATATAATTCAAATCATAAAACTGACTGACAATAAGTGGTGCGAGTGTGACCCAGATTCTAGAGGATGCATTACTTACGCACAGCTGCTTGTGTCTGCCTCTTCTCTCCACACTGCACCGGCCTGTCTGCCATTCACAAGCAGCAGCAGCACACACACCATCAGAGCTCTCTGTGGCTGCAGCATATGCAGCTCAATGCTGCAGGGCAACGAAGGCAAACAGTCAGGGGTGAGTTTTAAATGGACTACGTCGTGCCTTATCCTTCAGTGGTCACTCACTCATCCAATTGGAGTCCCAGTAGGAGTTTGATTGTAAGGGCCTGTGCTCTTCATTGGTATGCAAAATATTTTTGAGTGTGGTAAAACAGGCAAGCAAAGGGGGTGAGTTTGGGGTATTAAGCTCCATTCCATTCAGGTTCCTGCTGAGGCTAGCAAACACACACAGATGGAGAGATAAAGTAGAAAAACATTGTGGTTGCAGGCAGAGCGACGAGGAGAGGGAGGGGTGTGTGTCCTGTTTTGTTTGGTGAAGGATTGACTCAGAGAGCGAATGTGTGTCAGAGAGCAGTAATGAGTATTTCTGTTAATGAGTTTGCCTCAGGGATTGTTACTGTTTTCCGCAGCATGGATTTTTAGATATGTTAATTATTATGTTTTTTACCGTGCTCTCAATGAACAGGAAAACACGAGGTTTCACATAAAAAGCATAAAGGAAACTATTGTATTTGACGTCACAAGTAACTTGTGATTAGGTCTTGTGATATTGTATCCCCTGATACAAGAACAACACAAAGTGTTTTTAGATTCAGGTGATAATATTGGTTATAATTAAAGTGTTAGAAGTGATGGTAGAGTTGAAGAGCATCCTCAGCCTGTGATATGCTGACATGTGTTCTGACATGTGTTCTGACATCAGGCTTAATGGTCCAGTTATCAAATGTTTCTTCTTTAGAGGAAATATTAGATCTGTTTTCCATCTCTTCTGCCCAGTAACACAGTGATGTGAGGAGTCCCTGTTTTTATTAACTTAACATAATCATCTTAGGTTTTCTGCATATCCATGAGAGCTGTCCATAATAAGCTTAACATATTTATGACGGCTGCTAGTTTAAATGTATTAAAGCTTTTAGAGATGTCCCTTGGTTTTCAGAGAGTACTAGAGGATCAAATGAGGAATGTCTGAGTCAGTGAGGAAACAGACCCATTTTAAACAGTGTAACCCAAAGTCTGGAGTGCCTGTGGTGACGTAAAACTTGCATATGAAAGTTATTAGACTTCCTGTGCATGAGTCACTGCTGTTAGTCACGAAAATATCTGAGCTTGATGTTCCATTGTGCATCCCCAAAAAACAAAATGTATAAAATGATCATAAAACAGCATCCTTTTGTGTTAAGTGAGGTTTCATTGATTTGTAAAAGTGTTTCCAACCTTTCTTTCTGTCTGACCTTCTGTAGGCATGAGGTGTTTAATGGAAACACTGTAGTTAAATGTTCCATTACAGTCCAGTGCGTTGCTCTTCAAATACACTATTACTGCCCACACCCAAAGTCAAACGATTTAGCACAGTGCAAGAAGTAAGACTCAACAAGGTGAGTTAAAGCTGCATTACAGTGTCATTGCAGTAACCTAATACAAACAAATAATTTCCTTTTTATTTCTCAGCATGAAGTCACTGTATTCATATTTTAATCTGTGATTATGTGATGTATTTTGCACGTACATTTGATTATTTGTATCCCTGTTTTGAGCCATTAGCTGAAAACATGTTGTCCTCTGTTTAAGTATGTTATTGAGGGGCCACTACACAAATTAGAATATAGTTCATTGCTAGCCAGTCTGCTGTCAAATGTTTTCTGTGACTCTGCAGGGGAATAAGGAGGTAGGGGAATTTATGGTTGAGTTGCATTGTGAGAGATGTAGAAACCAGTATTTTAACTAAATTACTGGAAAAGATAAAACACAAGAAGTAACCCAAGGCAGACATAAATGATTGTGACTCAAGGCCTCACTCTTTCTCTTTTTTCTTCTTATTTTTTCCCCCTGCCACCACAGCTTATTTTGTCAACACATGCCTCAAGATAGCTACAGATACTCCTACTCAGAGTGCTAGCAGCTGAAAAAGGGACTCAAACCACAGGAAAGAGTTGAGTTTACCCCACTTAGAAAGTATGTATAGGAAGTGCCAATGATTTAAGCATTTTTGAAATCTTAATAACATACTCAAAGATGGCTCATGTTGTAAGATGATTAGTCAGTGGCACCAACATTACATAAGTTGGATTGACTCCCTGTCTGAGAATTTCCTCATCTGAAATCTGTAGATGGTTGTAAGACAACATGTTGTCAGTTCTTAAATGAGGATCATGACATAAATGGCTGTGATGATATTTATAGGGTGGCTATGTGTGATTAGAAGGAATTTGACCAAAGTTCCAGCTGGCTTACGTCCATCCAGCATTACATCCTTTTTCCTTGTAGAGAGAAACTTTAAAGGCCAGCTAGGCAGCGTTTGTGATTCAAATACATCTTCACAGTCAATGTCCGTTCTCATATATAACCCTTCTGGTTGCTATGGATACTAACCATACCTACTTTGCTACTCTTCCTGTGAGAGTCATTGGTGATGCTGGGGGAGACTGTGGGTGAGGCCTGCTTCACATATATAGGACCTCTACATACTTATGTTGGACTAACTATGCAGTGTCATTCAGCAGCTTTTAAAAAGTGTAACGGACATACTTGTCATATTTGATATTTTTAAAGATGGGGCATTCTTCATCACTAGAGATCTGGAAAAAGTCATGACTACCTTGAGGGGATACAGACAAACAAACAATAACTGAAATAAAGAGAGCAGTTTGCTTAATTTTCAAGTAATGACCATGCAGTAAAAACCTGTGTTTACTGTGATCCTCTGAGGCAGGGGCAGTGGAGCCTAAATAAAATCTACATGGAGATTTGCATAATGAAAAACACTTGAACCCACTATTACAAATATCTTGTTTGAGCTGCTTTGCCTTATTGAAATGGGAATTGCGTTTGTAAGTGCATGCGTGTCCAAGACTATTTTAAAAGAAGGATTGCCCAATATAGAATATAGGTGTGCATGTGAAAGACCAAAACCAGGAAAACGGTCATGCTTATCCTCTCAACTAGATTGAGATAATCTACTAATAGAGATCAATTTACATAAATGCTTCAATGCAGCTGCAGTTAAGTAATTACTGCTCCCATTTCCTTCCTTCCCACAATGTGGGATCTACTCTCATTCCCAAGCTAGAAAGAAAATCTCACTCTTCCTCCCCAGGAGTTGCTTATTCTCTTTCAGTTCTTTAATTGTCTGCCTCTTCTGAAGTTTAATGTTTTCGGTTTTTGTATTTATATAAGCAAAAAAACATACTTGTTTACATTCTTACAAACCCCTAATGTTTGGGCACAATCTCTGTATTCTTTTCACAGAGTAAAAACCTAATTGTTGAATTAACACTGAATATTAAAGAAAAACAATGTACATGGATGTAAGGTGTGGCACCTTAAACTTTTAAGACCAATTGTATTCTTAGACAATACATAAATGTACTGATATATTCCTAAAGCAAAATATCAGAGTATTACTTTTTTACTCCAAACCTCTTTGACTTAATTACACCGTGACCTAAATAGTAATAGGTACTATTGTTTACATGTAAAATATAGCAACATTAGTAAATGAAACATGTCTGTACTGCCATCTCCTGGTAGAAACCTTGTATTACGTAGCTGCGAAAAAAGAAATAGAATAATGATTCATAACAAAACAAAGCACGTGGGCTGCAAGCTCAATTATGAAAACATATCGAAGAATGTAACTCAATTAAAATCAATCTGTGTTATGTTTAATTAACTGTAATAACTATCTCCGAGATCACGTTAAGGATTCGGCAACAATTGTAATGCTTTTATGTTTACTTTATATTCTTCCGTTTTATGTTAAACCCGTACTTTTCTTATATACATATTCCATAATGGAAACGATTCAAATAAAAGTATCACTCTTTATTTGTATTGTTAAATTATTTTACAAAAGTTAATAAATGAATTCAGCGATAATAAAGTATTCGATGGTTGATTGCTTTTGACTGAGAGAAATACATAGACTTCCTACCTTTACAGCCAATCAACTCACGTTTAGAAAAAACGAGTTCACAGCATCCTCCAATCAAAAGAAGTAGAACCTGAAGTGGGCGTGGCTGGCAAGTGGAGCAGCTGGTAGACTTTTCTGTACATTCACATTGTGTATGTTTAGAATTAGAGTTTGACCACACAGAGCCAGCGGGCAGGCGGATTTCTACAAAAGCGAAAAGGAAGAATGACTTGGGACACGGAATAGCAGATCGATATTTCTCGAGGGCCTTAACACTTTCATGATCTAAAACAAACTGGTGTGCTGGTGGTAAAGGTAAGCGGAAAGAAGTGTCATATTAGCATTAGCAACAAAACCACCGGTTATTTTAGCAACCTGCCACATTTATCACTGTCAGCTATATGTACAGGCTATGGTCGGTTACCTAAAGACTGTAGCGCTGCTTATTGTACTGCATTACATTTTTGCAGGATTTTCCCACCACTGTTTCACTCACTTTTATTGCAGCCTCTTTTTGCTGGTCACAGGGGTTTTCCTTGAATGCAACAGGACCTATCAAGTTTCCAGTCGGTACATTCAAGGATGTCACCTTCTCAATATAGCTGCTCAGGGCTCACTGATAATGTCTAAAATAGACTCCAGACCACATGACAAAATGCTTTACAGAGCTCCACAAACTCAAGTAAGACACAACATAAAGTTGCAGCAAGTGTAGTAACTGGTGTATGGAAGACATTGGGTTACTTATTTAATCATAACACTGGTCAATACTGAACTATGTAGAGAAAGATGAGGACAAGTCTGGAGCCAAATAACCAAGCGTTGCTCCATCTTAATGATTCATCTGCTGTGTGCGAGCTAGAGAGATCTATTTGTAGGCTACTGTGTTCGCAAATCAAATATTTTTTGTATAACATTTTTGTAAATCACTACTAAGTATTGGTGCATCAAAACAAGTTAGAGTGAACCTGGGGCATGTTGAAATGAAGAGAGGAAGTGTGCTTTCACAACAGCTGTTACCCCACCACATGTGTCAGTGCAGATCTTTCATTTTCTTGCATTCCCTATTACTAACACACTGCTCTTACATACTATGATATCACATACAATACTGTTTTCAGATACTGTGGAACCTCTCTGTGAGTGTTCTTTGTCTGGTACATTTCTCAGCCATGGAGCCATCTCTGACCGGCAACCCAGCCACCGCAAAACTCAGCCCCTCCTCCCCCTCTACCCTGAGGCCAGGCCCTTCATCTTCCAGCTTGTCTTCGACCGCAACCACACACACCTCAGACCACACCAGGCCCAAAATCACGATGCCAACCTCTCCAACAACACCCTCATCTGCCCTCTCCACCGCCTCCCCTCGGACTTCTCCAGGTCTCTCCTCCCGTTCTTCCTCCCTGTCTACACCGCCCTCCTCCGCTCTCAGTCAGCCCATCAGGAGCCCCTCTCAGGTGGGCAGATCTCAGCTTAATGCAGCCTCTCCAGAATATCCACCAGCTCGCTCCACAGTTGCTGCCACGGCTCCTCAGCCTCCTCCCACACCAGAACCAGGTGAGAATCAAACTCTAACCTTTAAACTTTTACACTCTTAATCACATGTTACCTCTCTCTAAAGTTCCTCTTCTTAACTTATCAGCCCAGCTCTCTGTGTACTACAGTGTCTCCATGACAACAAGTGGTGTACCATGACATGCAAAGCAGACTCTCCCAAAGCAACTCTGCTGCTGACTTTAGGAAAGAAACCTGTCCGTGTCGTTACAGACAATTTCAACTCTTATCTGTTAAATCTCACTAACCAAGTCTGCATACAAACTTCACATAGTAGGAGCTCCGTTAGCTGCACTGGGAATATCACATTTTAAATTGTTGCAGTGGTGTCTTAATATATTAGTATTACAGGAACAAGGGAAATCTAACACCCCTGTCATATTTTGACCACAGTTTGGACACACATTAAGTCCGGTTTCCTAAAAAATCCACATCATGTGCCATTTATCAAGCCTTTAAGATCATCATGATGTAACAAATTAAAGTTAAAATGGGAGGCAGATTGCGTCACTTTTGTAAGCGTGTGCTGGGAAACCAGCTGCTGCTGTTATTTTAGGGCTGCGGCGCAGTAACTGCTATATCATCAGTATACCAGCAGCATGAAGGGCATCTGATGGAAATTACCTGATCCCATCGCATGCTCTTTAGCTTCCAGAGGCCCGCAGGCTCAGACAGAACACTGTTTCAGTATCACTGTGGGTGTTTTCAATCTTGTTTCCACATTCAAGCAACCTACATATTTTTCCTAGTATATACAGTATATGACACAACAATGGCACACCCTACTTTACAGGAAGTAGAGACATTTTCCATGCTCGCCACTGTTGAGTGAGGCATTGGGATTTGAGATTAGCAGAACTCATTAGCAAAAAGAAGATGATAATTAAACCAGCAGGGCTCAGAGGGCCGCTTCTATCAGGACAGAGACTGTTTCTGGAAGGATCTAACTCATGCCACTGACGGGATTATCAAACCGTTTATGAAGAGTCATTTAAAACTAGAGATGTTTTAAAACCTTAAATAGAAACAGATGGTCAGCAGTTTCAGTAATTTGGTCACTCTGTTTTCACTGCGCTGGGTTTTGATTAAACCAATGGGTCAGGAAGACATGCTTTGAGTTTGTGTTTGACACTGTTTTGTTTTTTACAGAATCTGTAGTATACTTTGGATCATTGAAACTTACTGTGTCCTGAGTGTTAAAAGTGATTGCCTTTTTCCTTCAGAAGAGCCAGAGGAGGAAGTCAGTCTGGAGGATTGGGAGGAGAGAGCAAAGTCAGGAGAAGCAAAAGCACAGACCAAGGTCAGTGTCAATTAACATACTGCAACAAATATTGACTTTAATTACCATGTGGTGAGAACAAAACAGATCAGCCAAGTAATAATAAATGTTATTTTTGAGCGACATATTGATGGGAAGGACGGGTACTGGGTCGACAAAGTCAAAGTCGTGCTTGTCTGGCAAGTCTAAGTGTGTGTGTGTGTGTGTGTGTGTGTGTGTGTGTGTGTGTGTGTGTGTGTGTGTGTGTGTGTGTGTGTGTGTGTGTGTGTGTGTGTGTGTGTGTGTGTGTGTGTGTGTGTGTGTGTGGTGTGTGTGTGTGTGTGTGTGTGTGTGTGTGTGTGTGTGTGTGTGTGTGTGTGTGTGTGTGTGTGTGTGGTGTGTGTGTGTGTGTGTGTATCCAGATGGGCCGTTACTTCCTGGCGCTGGCAGAGGAAAGAGATGAGGAGCTGAACAACTGCACAGCGGTCACTTGGTTGGTCCAGGCGGCTAAACAAGGACGCAAGGACGCTGTCAATTCTCTGCAGCAGTGCTTAGGCTCCAGGAAAGGTACCAACATCCCCCACTGCATCGTAGCAACATAGGTCTGATGTTATGAGTGGATGAGACTACAAATCTTCAGCTGTTGCTGGGAAAACTTGTCAATCATGTTGGTGCAAATTTGTGTTTTTCAGGCATCACTCTGGAGAACTTTGAGGAGGTGAAGAAGTTGTGTACAGAGACGCGCTTTGAGAGAGGAGTCAGGAAAGCAGCTCTGCTAATGTACTGGAAGTTGAACCCGGAGAGGAAGAAGTCGGTGGCTGTTTCTGAAATGCTAGAGAATGTCGAACATGTCCACACGGAACCGGGTAAGGAGGAAGATGCATTGTATGGTTGTATGTCGCGAATACAAATAAATGTATTAAACTAGCAGTATAAGATTCATTTCTCTCATAAATTGACAGGCAAACCAGTGTCTCCGGGCCCACTAAACAGCTCTGCCAAGAAACAGAGAAGAGTCTTGGAGACTATGGTCACCAGTGAAGGTATGTGTGGTAGGAAACAACGCCAACGGAGGCAGATTCTACTAATACAATTGTCTATTTCCAATTTGTAATGGAGCTTTGTGCCTTAGATGATTCAAGGGGAGTTAATACATTAAAGTTTGAAGAGATGATATACATTTAACTTAATATACGTGTGTCTTTGTAGCCAGATGCCAAGTGGGTCTGGATGACTTTGTGGAGATGACAAAGAAGTACGCTCAGGGTGTTGCACCGCCACCAGTCATGGCTACAGTAGGAGATGATGATGATGACGACGACGATGACGATGTAGTAGTGAAGAATCCAGATGAACTGCCCTTACACCTAAAGGTAGGAGGCTCCAGACTTTAAGGATTTGACTGGTGTCCATTTGACTCGATTCCCTTTTTTTTAAAGCTGTTTTTGCACTAATTGCGAGTGTAATAGAAATAGTGATCAGATGTTGGCACCTTATTAGCATCCTGACTCTCCTCTCTGTACTTCCTCCAGCTGCTGAAGTTCCCTCTGTTCGCTCTGCTGGAGATCAAGGAGCACCTGATCGACTGGGCGTCCCGGGCCGGCATGCAGTGGCTCAGCGCTCTGATCCCCACGCACCACGTCAACGCACTCATCTTCTTCTTCATCATCTCCAACCTCACGATAGAGTTCTTCATCTTCCTCATCCCTCTGCTGGTTTTCTACCTGTCGTTCTTCTCCATGGTCATCTGCACGCTGCGGGTGTTTCAGGTTGGCAACTGCTCCTTTTTAAAGATGTACACTTTTACCTTTCTTTAGATGTGTTTACTAGAGTATATAGATGCACCTGTATCTTCATACATGTAAAATGTACAGAACATTCATGAGAATATTTCCTACAGAATTCAAAAGCATGGGAAAACTTTCGGGCGCTGACCGACCTGCTGTCTCACTTTGAACCCGGCCTTGATCTGGAGCAGGCGGAGACCAACTTTGGATGGACACACTTGGAGCCTTATCTGTAAGAACATCTCTATTCACAACAATCCAAGTAGAGAACATACTAATTCCATATTTATTACTTTTCTTTTTATTGATGACTCTGTTTTGTTTGCAGATGTAAAGTTTACTTGTTTACCAATGTTCAGCATTGTCTTGTAGATACAATCATGCTTTTTCTAGTAATAGTGTTGTTCTAGTGTTTGAGTAAAAACAGACAAAGTAAAAAAGGTATGAAAGTATTATACGAAGTATTAATAATAGCTGTTTCGAAAAAATATATATACACTTTTTGAAGCCGTTTATTACCAACTGTATTGATCTGTTATGATTACTATTATTGTTGTATGGCCTGGCTGAGGTTAAACCATGTATGTTGTTGTAAAACATGAAATACAACATTGTGTGCAGTTATCAGTATCAGAAGGACTCCATTAAACAAAGTTAACTCGACTTTTTTTGCAGCAAAATGAACACATCCCGCATATTTGTGTTTCAGGTACTTCCTGCTCTCTGTGATCTTCGTGGTTTTCTCTTTCCCTGTTGCTGATAAATCCTGGATCCCCTGCTCAGAGTTGGCTGCTGTCGCCCTCTTCTTCACCTTCACCGCCTTCCTCAGCCTGCAGGCCTCCGCTCAGCTGTTCGCTCGCAGAGCCCTCCTCACTGAGGTCCTCTCCGGAGCCTGCTCCCTCACTCCCTTCCTGCCAGACTCCATTCCCTGGTTCATCAAGATGTTTGGGATGACGTTCATCACTGTGCCTCTTGGGGATGTAGTAGTGCTGAACCTTGGGGTGCCATGTCTGCTATATGGACACCTCTTCTATCTGCTCTTCCGTATGGCCCAGATGCGAGGCTTTAAGGGAACCTACCTGTGCCTGGTGCCCTACATGGTTTGCTTCACCTGGTGTGAGCTCAGCATGGTGTTCCTTCAAAACGCCACCGCAATAGGACTCATCCGCACCTGTGTTGGCTACTTCCTCTTCCTGTTCGCCCTTCCCATTCTCTCACTAGGCCTGGCTGCAATGCTCCTCATCCAGTTAGTACAGTGGTTTCTTGCCCTGGAGGTGACCAAGATGGTGGTAACCTTGACAATCTGCTTTGTGCCAGTAGTGCTGAGGCTTTGGACTCGTTTTAGCCTCAACCCCATCGTGGTTTTACGGTCTTTATCACGGAGCAGCGTTGTGAAGCTTATCCTGGTGTGGCTCAGTGCGGTGGTTCTGTTCTGCTGGATGTACGTCTACAGGTCTGAAGGCATGAAGGTTTATAACTCCACCCTGACGTGGCCTGAGTACAGCAGCCTTTGCGGCCCGATGGCCTGGAAAGACGCCAACATGGCCCAAACTCAGATCCTCTGCTCTCACCTCGAAGGACACCGTGTCACCTGGACTGGACGCTTCAAATACGTCCGTGTGACCGACATCGAGAATGGGCCGCAGTCGGTTGTGAACCTGCTGCCTGTTTTTGTGGGGAACTGGATGCGCTGCCTGTACGGAGACCCCTATCCTTTGTGTGAGGAGGTGAAAAACGAGACAGCTGAGCCCCAGCCTCTGCCAGCCCCCGCACCTCCTGCAGAAAATCCCCTCTGTAAACTTAAAAAACTGGCCAAGCACGAATGTCACATTAAACGTTTTGATCGATACAAATTCGAAGTGACAATGGGCATGCCACTGGAGAGGAAGACCAGAAACGGGACAATCATAGAGGACGAAGATGCCACAAAGGATATAGTTCTGCGGGCTAGTAATGAGTTCAAATCTATGCTGATATACTTAAAAACAGGTAGCCTGGTGGAGTTCAGCACCATACTGGAGGGCCGTTTGGGCTCCAAGTGGCCCGTGTTTGAACTCAAAGCCATCAACTGCATGTCCTGCGGGGACGCCCGTCTGCCCAGTCGCAGGCAGTACAAGATCGAACACGACTGGAGGCGCACGGCTCAGAACGCCCTGCAGTTTGGTTTTGATTTCTTCTTCAACCCCTTCCTGACTGCTAGGCTAGAGCAACACTCAGAAACAGAGACTGAGATAGAGACGGTGACACAGGAGGGGGGGTAGAGATCTGTCTGACACCTATTGGAGAAATAGGATACCTGATAATGACTGATAATTATACGAGTTGAAGAACATTAAGGATTGTAAATCAATGTCAACATGTTACCCAGACATCTGTGGTATCAGTCCTGATCTTTAGAGATTGTGTGTTTGCATTAGCTTTTGAGCCAAAATATGTGAGAACACATAATATTATGTAAGTAATTATACAAAAGGGGGGAAACACAAATGAATACGATTTTTCAAAATCAGTAATTCACTGCCTAACACTAACAAAACACCATATCCGCCTCCTCAGCTGTGGTCAGTTATACATTTCATCAATTAGAAGCTACGTTGCTCACTACAGTCCGTTAATGAAGACATTTCATCAGATTTTGTTTGTTTGTAGTAGAACACTATGTGTGCTGAAGCATTCTTATGTACAGTAATCAAATATTTGTAGCCAAACACATTAGTATTTTGTGGAGGCGTACAAGTAGAAGAAAGATTTCCTCTATAATAGGTTGTTATAATGATGACAACGTGTAAGGGTCTTCTTTGCTGTCAAGCTTTAATCATTTAACATATACTCTATGTGCAGTATTTTATTGTACTGGGCAATATTTCCAAGTGCCTTACAAGAGATAGCAGCACATGTAAATGAATTTGGAAGAAATTGGACTAATTCATGTCTTAGATCCTTAACCTTTAAGCTCAGCTCCATCTTTTAATTATTAAGTTAATCTCTGCCCTCTCCTCTTCCTCCTTGTTTGTCCTTATCTGCTGTGCAGAGATTTAATATATTGAACATTTGCAGTCCTGAGTGCTGTGTTTTAAGTTAGGATGTCACTGCTGTTTTCTTTACTGTGATCATAAATATAATGAAAACATTTGCTTGTTGCTGTTTTTATTCAATAACGATTGCATTATTTTAAATTGAATTACAAAATGTTGAATGTATGAATCATGCTCGTTGTCCTTTTGCTTTCTTCATAGGTACAAATTAATACAAATTACTGATGGCTGGCTCATTTTCATTTAGCTGCAGAATCCCTTCAGGCTTCCTGTCACACTTCCATAGTTTAGTGACCCATCAATACAACAGCCAACTGTTCATGTTATGAGTATCATCGCAGCAATTTGTGCCTTTTTATAGGCTGCCGAAATACATTGCACCCACTGCTGACCATCAATGGCAGCGCTGTTGAAAGTCAGCAGTTACTGGGAGTATGCTTTACGACAACCTGACCTGGTCCAACACGACCACAACTTTTACCAAGCGGGCTCAGCATCTTACAGACTGAGGCCGGTGACCACATCCTACAGAGGAACCATTGATAACCTCTTAACACACTGCATCACTGCCTGGTACAGAAAACTGCAGATCTGGTCCCTGCAGACAATGGGGGAAAATGCGGAAAAGATCAATGGAGTCTCTGACATCTATCGAGCCCAGAGTTTCCAAAAGGTTTCCAACACAGCATCTGACCCTCCAACTCCTCTCACCATCTCTTTGCACTACTGACATCTGGAAGCTATTTCTAGAGCATCAAGGTGAGGCTGCATCCATCAGCACTTTGAACACTCAGATAGTCCTGCTAATAATTTGTTCTTACTTTGATAGTCCACATGATGGCGCCGTAGAGTTTCTGATTCATTGTATTCTCTATTTCATTGTTTCAATCCAGTTATTTCACAAATCACTTCCTCAATTTTAATTTTCTTTCCTAGAAAATAATTCAGATTAAACATTTTGAAAATGTAACTTTTTTTCAAAGAAACTTCACTGAACATTTGTATATCTGTATTGCATGTCTGAATGCGTTGCATGTTATCCCTTTATCAATGACGAACAAAAATCACAATTAGCATCTTTGCTAACTTTTGCTAGCTGTTGAACATAGTAGTGGAGCAACTAGACAGTGCATTTTTGACTTACAATCATCAAGTAGCCAGAAACACGACACCAGAAGAATGAGACTGTTGCTCCATGATTGTAGGGTAACAGGTAATTGCTAACAAGTCGATGATGCTGTGTTCAACTGGTTTCTGCCGCCCCCAGCTGGACAGGAAATCAATTACCTACATGTTTATGTGATCGATTTCACCTGTGTTCTGCTGCTATACAGGTGGCCAAAATGTCTGCTGTGGAATATTATTGTGTTAGCAACAATATTTATTTTAGTCCAAAAAAACTAAAAGTCATACCAAGAGGTAGGAAGTAACTAGGTACATTTACTTAAGTACAATTTTGATATACTTGTACTTAACTTGAGTATTTCAATTTGATGTTACTTACAGTGCTGGAATTGGGCCGGTACTCACCGGTACGCAGTACCGGCACTTCTGGTTCTGACCCATGGAGTACCGGCACTTTTTGCTCAGTACCGGCATGCTGGCGGTACTCCGGTACTCATGCACCGTGCCAGTACTCAACACTCTCCCGCCGTTCTTATTATACATCCATATATATATATACAGCCGCCCGGTACTCAGTAGATGCGTCATGAGGTGCCGAACTGACATTCTCATCGCTCTAACCGCTGGAGTTTCACAGCGGCTGTCAGCTGTTTACTCCTGTCATTCAAACAGAACGTGCTGGAAAGGGGGCAGGGCTTATCTTCTCCATGTAAATACTGTGGTGGAAACGACTATGTCAAAATTAACCTATTTGACTGTGATTTAATAGTAATACACGTTTCAAAATAATAATAATAATAATAATAATGCCGAAGTAACAACATACTGAAAACTGTTAGTAAAACCATGTTTTAATGCTTTACAATTTACATACCTAGATGCACGTGTGTTGTGTTTATGCAGTGCAACTCCCACCCAGTGGGTGGCTATGTAGAGTGATAGAACAGAGCAGGCACGCCCCCGAGAGAAGGAAAGCAAGTCACGTCACAAATTAGCATTTCTAAAATGTTAGCTTGGATTAATAAAAGTGCAAAAAGACAGCGGTTGTCGCCGGAAGAAACTTCAAATACAGAGAATGCTGTGCCTGTGTTGGAAATTGTGTCTGATGGGGAGCTTTCTTTGGTTGATCCTCCTGCTCCAAGTTCTAGTGCATTAGCATTAGCACTAGCTCCGCCGCCTCCTCCAGAGCCTCTAACGTTAGCTGCTGCTGGCGCAACTGCCACCACCAACACCGGGCAAAGCGATGCACTTGACTGCTGGACAACGGACCAGGTGCAATATTTTTGCAAGACCAATGCATGGCTCCTTCTTAAAGATAAGAAGCTAGGATGTCGGATATGCAGAGATGTCAAATCTTTGGGAATACACACTGGACAAGGACTGAAACTGTCAACTGAATGGGGTGAGTGTGCAGTGTCTCATTTCGGTGTTGACAAGGGCAAACAACAAGCTAGCCTGAGAAAAAAAATCAAAGAACATAAAGAATCACAAGCCCATGTAAAAGCTGCTGACATCCTTACATCTGCTTCACGTGAAACTATTCAACATCAAGTGCAGTCTATGCATAAATCTGAATTAGACACCACTATCAGAGTTTTTCGAACGGCATATACAATTGGCAAACATAGCCGGCCATTCACAGACATGCCAATTGATTTGAATGTACAGAAACTGAATGGGCTGAACGTGGGCAGGGTTTTGCACTCCAATAAAACCTGTGGCGAAATCATCGACCACATAGCTCATGAGCTGAAGAAAAAAATGGCAAAAGACATTACAGAAAACCAAAGAAAACTCTGTGTTTTGGTCGATGAATCTACCACTATTAGTGGTAAAACGGTGCTTGTTGTGTGTCTACGCTCAGCATTAGCTGATGCTGAGCCAGAAACGTTTTTTTGGGAGCTGATCGAGTTGGATGGAACAACGGCTGATGACATCACAAAGGCGTTAATGGAGTGTCTTGGAAGAGATTTTAACGAGGACTTTTTAGGTCAGTGTTTCGTTTCTTTTGCATGTGATGGGGCTTCAGTCATGCTAGGGAAGAGAACAGGCGTTGCTACCCAGTTGTGTAGTAAATTCCCAAGCCTGTTTGTGTGGCACTGCTCCAATCATCGTCTAGAGCTGGCAGTTGGGGATGTGGTCAAGGAGGTCTCAGGGCTCAATCATTTCCAGATCTTTTTGACAAACTCTATTCCTTGTTCCATGCCTCCCCAAAAATCAGAGGCAGTTAGCGCAGTGTGCGCAAGCAGTCGGACAGCGTCTCCTGGTGATAGGGCGTGTTTTGTCCATCCGCTGGGTGGCTTCAAGTGAAAGGAGCGTCAGAGCAGTCTGGGAAAACTACAGAGTGCTTCATGATCACTTCACAAATGCTGCAAACGACACGAGCAGGGATTCCAGAGACAGAGCAAAGTACAAGGGCCTGGATGATGTGCTCACATCTGCAACGTTTGTCAGCAATCTGGGACTGATGTACGATGCGCTCACAGAGCTCAGCGACCTCTCTCGGCAACTCCAAAAAAGAGAGATGACACTGCCTACAGCAGATAGGCTCTTAACTCGAGAAATACGAGTTTTTGAATCCATGGTCACCATGCCTGGCCCACACATGACTACAGTTCATACAGCTCTAGCTGAGAAGTCCTTCAAGGGTGTTGCCCTGCGTGAGAATGGCAGGCTTGTACAGATTCATGCAGGTCAGTTTTTCCGCAGTATGGTAGAGAATCTGAGACACAGACTGACTTCCACAACCTCCTCTCATGTCAGCACAAGAGAAATCCCATTACATGGCCGGGAGGCCCGGGACAATCAGCTAATCCAGGACATGAAAGTTATCCATCCTGGAAGTTGGCCTGAAGAGGAGTTAGACGTACAGTATGGGGATGTAGAGGTGCTACGTTTGTGCGAAGTGCTGAAAGTGGACAGAAGAGAGACTGTTCAGGGCTTTCGCGAATACAAGGAAACCAGGGCATCCCGTACACCTGCTGCCATGGAGCCTCTACTGAAAGCAGTCCGAACCATCGCTGTCTCCACTAGTGAGTGTGAGTGGGCATTCAGCTGCATGAACGATATCCTTACTGCAAAAAGGAATGCTCTCTCTGTCAGCCGACTGTCCAGCCTGGTTTTCATTAAATGTAATGGACCATCACTAGGACAGTTCAATCCGGAACAGTATGTGAGGTCCTGGCTGGCAAAGGGAAGGAGAAGTGCTGATGAAAGAGCCTGTCCAGCTCCAGCCCCTGATACTGATGTCCCCAAGGCCTTCTGGAGCCTTTTCTAACAATGTGAAGTATATTGCAAAGCAGCTCACCCAGTGAGAAGACTTTTGGCATAATGTGCCGATTTGTACAGATCCTGGAGATAGAAGGACTTCAGACCAACCAGGGAGTTATCTGATCAGCTTGGTGTTCAATGTAACTCTTTACCATGGCTCAGACTTTGTTACTTGCAGTTACAGTTTCTCATTTTAGATTGTGCAAATTTTGCATTTGTTTTTACATGTTCTTTGTTCATGCTCTTTATCATTTTTCTGAGTTGGAAAGTTAGATTGCATCATAGTTTACTTTATACATATTTGTATTCTTCAGTGGTGAAGTATATTGCAAAGCAGCTCAGCCATGTGAGAAGACTTTTGGCACTTTTTCGTTTTTCGTTTTCTGAGTTGGAAAGTTAGATTGCATTCAAAATGTACAGAAATACTTAATTTTGTTAAAGCTTTTTATAAAAAATGCTTCTGACCAGAGCTTTGTTTCCTTGTCATTAATGTTGAACACCACCAGAGGGGCTCTCACCTGAAAGGTCTCTGCTTCATGTGTCTTCAGCAGAAGATCTAGACTTTGATTGCTATATTTTCAGTTAATATTGACCTTACTGAGCTTTAGCCATATCCGCTGCCTATCATAACAAATGTTAAGTACAGTGAACCTTTCTAAAATATACAGTAGTAAAGAGACAAACCCACCAGCATTATAGT